ATTCACGGACTAGTGCTGTCTCGTAAGAATTTTGTAGGACGCGTTAAGAGTGACAAAATATTCTCTGTATCTACTGGAACCGAGCCACATAGCTTGTATTCCACTATTTGCATTCACACCTGGGCTGTGTATATATATTGCCTTGGTTTGGCTCTGTAATCATTGGTGGTCGTGGGACTGGTTTGGGCCCTACTTAAGCTGGTCGAACGTTTCGTTTGGGTCTATACCCTAGCTGCACTGATGAGGCCTGAAAGGCCGAAACGGATCCGTCTGCAGATATTGGGATTCCTTCCAGTGGATACTTAGTTTATTTTGTCATTCAGATCGGATTTTCTCTACTGTTCAGTTTTAATTTTAAATAGTTTTGCATTATGTGGCCGTTTGCTGTTTTATGGGTTTATCCCATTTGCCTTTCAAAATTTATATATATATATATTATTTACGTATATATATGTATATATATATATAGTATGTGTATTTATTTATTATTTAGATTTATATATATATTATTTATATATATATATACATATATATATATATAGACGTATGCATATATATACATGTATACGTATATATACATGTATATATATATATATATACGTGTATATATATATATGTATATATATATGTACGTATATATATATATACATACGTATATATATACGCGTATATATATTTATATATATATATAGGGCCTATATACTTCTTAAGTCATGTATCATGCATAGGAACGTTGACGCCTGCAAGGCTTTCGTTATTGTTATTATTATTGTTATGACCTACATAATTCATTGTGTATTGTATTTAATTATTAATTTTTACTAATAAAAAAATGTTTAATTTTAACTATTATGTTTAAAAAATAATAGGCCTACATTTGATCACATAATTTACAAAAAATATGAAAAGAATGGATATTAAATTATTTAATAATATAAATTAAAGATTTAATTTCTATTCTTTGTTTTGCATAATTAAGCCCACATTATGAAATATATGTATTTATTAAACGAATTTGGTTTCGAATTGTTTTATTTTTTAATTTACCAATTTGTATATGGTCCTACTAATATTTTATATAACATTAACAGCTTATGTAACAAAGTAAAGACTTCCTAGGCAACCTTAATGGGTTCATTGAACGCTGGCATAGAAGGTTGTAGACCGCACAAAACACACGCTGTATATAGTCTTCAACGTATCCAGGCTAAAGAGACAAAGAATAGGTTGAAGAAAAAGTTAAATAAAAAATGATTTCTTAGGGTAGCTTTGCAAATTAACTCTAAAAAATTATAGACAACAGTTACATGCGAAAGAGTTTTGTTTACTTTTACGATGTTTATATATCGTCGCGAGGGTGCTGTATATTTACAATTCAAAGTCATATAATTACTAGAATTCTATACGGTATCTCAGTGAATACAGCATCTATAAAAGCTATTCCTATAAAATACCAAAATATACTTGATAAATTTTATTATTAAATTAGTTTATTTCTATAAAATTGAATACATATTTTCACAAAATTTTGCGGCCATTGTTGCTATGGACTATCCTAAAAAAGTTCATGAAGTAGCTGCATGGAACGTGCACGCGTCCTATTGTAATAAAAATCGCGTTCTAAACACTTAAGCCTGGTTCTCACGAGAGCCGTAGTATCCAAATCGGGAGCTAACCGTTAGCTCTAACCGTTAGCACCTGTGTGAGAATGCCCGATTGGTTAGCGCTAACCGTTACCTGTGTCCGGATACCGCTAACAGTAAGCAAGCGCTTTCGGTTAGCACGTTGAGCACGTTTCTATCATCAACCAATCACACGTACGCGTTTACAATTTCCAGTTTCTTATTGGCCAGTTATTCGATCATCATATTCTTGGTATCGGGATATTCTCGTATGGACGCACGGCAGCTAACGGTTAGCAGGATCCGGATCCTGCTAACCGTTAGTTGCCATGTGAGAACATAGCCTTAAGCCTGGTTCTCACGAGATCCCTTGTATCCTGATCGGGAGCTATCCGTTAGCGCTAACCGTTAGCACCTGCGTGAGAATGCCCAATTGGTTAGCGCTAACCATTATCGGTATCTGGATACCGCTAACGGTTAGCAAGCGCTATCGGTTAGCAAGTTGAGCGCGTTTCTATCATCAACCAATCACACATATGCGTTTACAATTTCTAGTTTCTTATTGACCAGTGATCATCATATTTTTGGTATCCGGATCGGGATATAGCAGGATCCGGATCGTGCTAACCGTTAGCAGCCGTGTGAGGACATAGCCAATATGTCGTGATTATGTATGCAATGAAACAGCCGTGAATAGTAAATGGATGACAATTCAAAGCCAATGTGGTGTTTCTCGAAAACCTACCAACAAATGGCATAAGTTGAAAAAGCTCCTCAGAGCAATGGCGATTGAAATAATGATAGAGTAAACCGAGACATGCAACATTATGCCAATGAGCCAAAGGTTCCAACCTACAACCAAGCTCTGGTCCGATCAGATGGATAACTCGACGTTGGATTTTCTCAAGAAAAGATAACAGGCGGGAGCTCCAGACCAAAACACGCGAGTCGAGTGGCCGAGCGGTAAGGCAGTGGCGCCGCTAGCTACAGCCTAACATCGGCGCTGGTTCCAGCCGCTCCTCGCCCATGGTTCGGTTGGTAGAACCAAGTCTTCTCGGATAAGGACTTAAAATGTAGGTCCAGTGTATACATCTGGCTTGTGTGCATTTTAAATAACCCATTGCATCTTTCGGAAGAGTACCCCAATGTTATGGTTCATTTCAGCCCCAGAATGATGTGAACATGTATCTACCAAGAAGCGCCTCTTTACGGCAGCTAGGTAGTCACGAACTATGCCCATACGCAATTCAGCACAATGACGCTGCAAGTTATGGGTTATTCTCCTACCTCTACCACCTCTACCAAACATGGGAACAGTACTCTAAACAGGGTCTGATGGTTGATTTGTACAAATGAAATACTGCCTCAGGTGTAAGGAATCTGCTGGCCCGGTACGATGTGATGTGTTTCTAGCTATGCATTCAATGTGATTCCTCCAATTCAGAAGAGATGTTTAGCCCTAGCAATCTAATGCAAGAAAGAACATCCAGCTGAGAGGAGGCCATCTCAATAGATGGAAATTCACGGTTTTTTGATCCGACTGATGGTAAGCAGTTGAGTCTTCCTGGGGTTGAATGTAACTCTCTAATGAGATCCCCAATCCAAAACTGTTTCCAAATCACAATTAAGAATGTTTGCATAGTGTTGTCTGTTATGTGCACTGAGATATGACACAGAAAGTGTTGTGTCATCAGCATAGATTAAAATGTTAGAAATAATATTGTCAGACAAGTCGTTAATGTAAATAATGAAAAGGATGGGGGCCAAGCAGGGAACCTTGAGGAACACCTGTTCAATCAGCAACCACCTCTCGCTCCTACATAGTTGAAACGGAGAGAGACCGAGTACGAAGGTACAGACACGATTGAATTCAATTGAACAAGGATGTGAGTGTTGAAAGAGGGGATGGAAGTAGTTAACAGAATGAAAGTGTTGATAATGAAATACCCAACAATAGGCAATGGTTAGAATGTAGAAACAAGAAGTGGTAGATTTTCAAAACTTCCAGTAAAATTAGATTTGTAAAGTTGACTGTTTAATGCTTACTAGTTTTGAGTTAGTTATAACATTATATAGAATGTTAAATTACAAGTTCAGTATGTTAAAACATATTAATCCAAAAGTTTTTGAGATAATGTTTAAAACTCAGAAAGAGGGAAGTAGTGAGATATCCCATGAGTCAATGTGCGTGACGTAGACACGCATGAGGTGGTGGTATAATATGCCATGTTGCCCGGTGGCATGATATTGTTTACTGAATAAATAGTTATTGTTTTGAAGATAAAGACGGTTCTCTGTGTACTACTGTACACAGAGAATGTGAGTGGAATCATCAGAGAGTAGACAACACCTTACAGTCTGTACATTATTTAATGTTATGAATAAACATGTTGCGTTGAGTTGTTATAATACTCAGGTAGTACATCTTTAATCATTGGGCCCACAGTTGTTATCAAGGTCTTCCCCAAGTGAGAAGATATTGACACATAAAATACAACAGTGGTGACATGGATGAGATCTAGGACAACAATTGTTCTCTTTGGGCTGCATCAGAAAACCATGCGACTCTAATCATACTTTATTATGCATGATATTGCTAATGCTACAGGCTAAGAAACCAAGTGCCTTTATTAGTGAAATACGTTACTAAAATGCCTAGTATACCTTCTGAAGACCTTCTGGTGGAAGTGGTTGGCGCATCGGTTGTGGCTTGGACTCTTAACCTTGAGGTCAGGGGTTCGGAACTCTCACTGTGCAAGTCGCTTGTGTCCTTGGGCAAAGCACTTTATCTCTACGTTTGTCTCTCTCTACCCAGGAGTATAAATGGGTACCCAGTGGTTTACTAATGGGGAGGAAAAAAAGGTGGCGTGGAAAGGAACTGGCCACTCTACCACACAATACCGAGGCTTAGTACAATGGGCTCACAGCTCATTCCCCTACGTTCAGTAATGAACACGGGACTACCTTTACCTTATCTTCTGAATAAACGGTAGATAAAACATAAGATGAACTAAGGTAATTATTTGCTTTTTTGTCTTATGCCAAGTATTTAAAGTTTGGGGCTGCATACAGAAGAAAAATGACTCGCTGTAAAAGTGCTAAATGTTAAACTGAATAATTAGCATAAAGAATGTGGCAGTATTATATACTTTAGTATAGAGAAGCCGGTACTTATACTTATTGTAAGTCAGTTCCCACAATGACCTACCATTTTAAAGCTTATAGTATGATTGTATTAAAATGTCAATTTTCTTTATGGTCACTGGTGCTGGTTTTTGGCATGACAAGTCCCATATAGCAAGCACAACATTTTGTTTTTTTAAATACAATATCAAGATAGTTTTTCAAAACAATTTTTATCTGTTCAAACATTTTCAGGAGTGGAAGTGGCATTGCTTGTGCCTATGTAGCTTCAGATATGTCTGTAACTCCTGCAGGACCAGGTCAGAAAGCTTGTCCACGATGCGGAGGTGCTGTCTACCCAGCTGAGGAAGCTGTAGGTGCTGGCGGAGTAAGTGATTGTTTCAATAAACTTAAGTTACCTGATGCTGGTACAGGAATATGCTCAAGGGATTCTTCATTTTCACTTATCTTAATTTTTCTAACTCTCGAGGATGTGCTCGTTTCGCTTGCTTACCCTAGTACGCAGAGTTCTCACCACGCTGGTCGGTATCCAGCACTTAACATTTCCAAACAGTATTTTTGGCTGCTGGCCACCACTGTTTTTGCATTTGATAGGCTAACAAAAATAGGCTAACAAAATACTTTTGTTACACGACTATTAGAGTTGGGAGTTGTTGGTTAACAACTCATTGGCTATAGACAGTGGACATGCTTGCTACATTAGATAAGACAAATTATATCGGTCCATTACGTATGTGAAACACAGGTGAGCACTAAATTACTAAGGAGAGCAGTTGCCTCCCACTCAAATAAACTCTCACACCAGAGCCTCATTTGGAATAAACCCTTCAGGATGCGGAATATCGCGTTTTTTGGCGTCAGCTGTGTATAACCACACCTATTTTAATCTCCAAACTGTTTCCAAAATTTATGTTTTTATCTAGTTTGAAACATTGACATTATATTCAAAACTTTAAAATAAAGAAATTTCAACTTAAAAATACTTGTATTCTCTAGGAAAACCCTCATCAAAACATGGTATTACCTAGGGAAATCCCCATTTTTTTCTAGGGTTGCCATAGTGCGAGTTAGCGAGTCATCCAGCGAGGCATGCAATTCATGCGAGCCATGAAGGTAATTCTTGCAGGACGTGTACTAACAGTGCGAGTCATGCGACACACACAAAAGTCCACAATAATAAACACTTTGCCTGGATGAAGTAGGAAATTAGCGGGAAAAAAGTAAAGGAAAATTAATTTTTGGTTTTTCTGAATCAGTATATCATATAGTGTCTCAGAAAAAAAATCCCCATTCTTAGAGCTTGGGCAATTTTTTTTATAGCACTTTAAAATTTTGACATAAAATATCCTATTTTGGGCTAATTAAGATGGGGGTAAGGGAAATAAATGTATGTTTTTAGTCATTTTTACATATGCTATGTATATCAAATGTAACAAGGACTTGGCTAAATAGTTACTCCTCAATCTCGTTAAAAAATTTAATCAGAATAATGACGTCATCACAAAAAATTCCAAGATGGCTGCCATTGTGGCGGTAAAACTCTTTTAAAATGTAAATTTATCTTTATTATTATCAGAGCAATTTCAAAACAATATATATCCATACACACACACACACACCTGTCTCTTATACACATCTAGATGTGTATAAGAGACAGGTATATATATGTATATATGTTTTTTTTTTATTCCTGTATATATAATATTGTATTGGGATTATATTGTACTTTGATAACAACAAAATTATTTTTACATTAAAAACATAGTTTTTACCACCTTAATGGACGCCATCTTGGAATTTATCATGATGACGTCATCATTCCGATCAAATTTTTAAATGATAGTGATGAGTAACTATTTAGCCAAGTTGTTGTTACATTTCATATCCACAGTTTATGTAAAAGTGACCAAAAACATAAATTTATTTCCCCTACCCCATCTTAAATAGTTTAAAATAGGGTATTTTAGTTCAAAATTTCAAAGTGCAGTAAAAAAATTGCCCAAGCCTTAGGCATGGGGATTTTTTTTTCTGAGACACTATAGGGTATGCTGATTCAGAAAAACCAAAAATTAATTTTCCTTTACTTTTTTCTCACTAAAGTTCATTTCAGCAGTTTTACAACCAGACTACTTGTGTAATTTATAAAACAATTAGAATAATGATAATAACTACTTTTAACATATTTTTTTGGTTATGACTATGTAATAGGCTATGTAATATTCATTTCACTCACGCTGCCCATTCACCCCATGCATAGAGGGAGAACCTTATTTATTTTTCACAAAATAAACATAACTAGCAAATCGTAGTAAAGCGTTTGGGTGGTATATTAAACTTTCTGCAGCAAGATTCTTGGCAACAAATTCCAACCAATCACGGAGCAGAAAAAAATTTACTGCAGTGAGTTTCAGTTACCGCTGCGAGTTTAGCGTCCTCCATGCATATTTTGACCAATCAGAGGCCAGAGAACTAGCTGCAGTAAATTTCTAATTGAACTGCAGTTCAGGAACCGAATACTGAGCGATATTGCACTCCATAGACGTCTGTGTATTTTCTGCATTAAATTTCCGACCGTGTGGGTTTCAACAACCATTTCAGTTTATTCAAACTTAAATATTAATTTAATATACTAGAATATAGTGAGCATATTTATTTATCTATTGTTCAATCAATAACAAAAGCCGATATTGACTCAAAATATTCTAGGCTTAACTAGTCATTATTACTACTCAGTACTGACGACCTGCTACTCCAGCGAATCATGCAACAAAATAAATCACGCACACTGTAAACAGAACCCAGAACCACGTGATACAAAGTTAACGCATGGGGAGATAACATATGCCATTCTACAGTTAAATTAAAGTAGAAGTAAGTATTACAACTTCAAGAAAACTCATGTCTTATAGTACACATTATTTTCACAAATTTTTATTCTGAAATTATAACAGTGAACACTGCATAGCAGTATCATTCTTTCTATAACATTACTAGCCTCCCAGCAACAAGATGCCGTGCAGCGAGTTTACAACCATGTGCGTTTTGTGACGATGTTCGTGAAGCTGCTCACGTGACTTCAAGGAAAAATTGTTTGTCATCGAAGTGGGTTCAAACACGTTTATTAATGAACGTAATGTGAAAATATTTATTTAAGCAACCCAAACCATTGCTTGAATGTTGTAGGAATCCTTGTCGCACTGTGAGTGAGCATAATTACAATACCAAGCCAGCAAATCTAGACTAATTAATTGGGGTAGCCTGGACCTAACCTGACGATTTTCGCCTTCGTAGTTCGCGATCTAGAATTTTTTAGGAGCAGGTTCATGAAAGGTGTATAGGCTGCACCCTGAATTTCATGGTGTAAATCGCGTATAAAATTTGCGGCTTTATACACCGGAATATATTGTAGCTTCAGTTGCAAAATTTGATAGATTTTGATTATGTACAAAGTTTCAAAATACAATTTTTGGTATTAATTTTTGTTTTAGTTGCCTGGTAAATCAAGGAGCGTGGTTGTTGCTCTCCTGAAAGCATGTTCAGGAGCGTGATCGCTCTCACGCTCCTTAAAAATGATGGACTGATTATATCAATTAACGTCTCCGTGGTATGTTAATTTGAAACCCTACTTCTGACGTAGGCTTATTATTGTTGCTCTATATTGAGCAACACACGATCGAATCAGGGTTGCCATTTGGCCTTTTTGACGGCCAGATTTCTCAAATCTGGCCGTATAAAATTTTGCCTGGCCGAAAGGTCAGTGATATCGTGTTATCGTCTAAGACATTTTAATAATGTGTGTAAAATTTAATGAATGCACCGCATGGGTCGCTTTCTTTGTTATGCGGTAGTAGTATACATGGCAGAGTGACGGCAGCAATCTAAGCCTAGCCTAGGGCCTAGATAGGGTAACATTTATTTTGACCATGATGACGTCATTAAAATGTAAGAGAATTGTCTTAGCTATAACATACTCAAAGTTGGAAGACGATCGACCAAGGATAAGCGAGATATGCTCAAATGCGTATTTTCAAAAATGACGTCATCGGTATAATTCAGTTTTATTGAATTCAGATGGCAATATGATGACGTCACAATGTCCGATCAGCCATTATGATCTATAACTCATGTGCTTTCAGAATATGTAATAAAAATTGGGGGTCACATCCTATGGAGCTATAACTGAATAAATATAGGCCTGATTTTAGCATAATTATTTTCACTGTATATCAGCACAAAAGCTCGCAAACATCCTTATGTTTGATGTTGACATTGCTATTGTCCATAAGATGACCGTAAGAATGGAAATTTGTGAAAACAATGTCAGGAACCCAAAACATGTAAAAAAAAAAAAAAAATCAGCTTCCGTACCTGCTGCGTGCGTAAAAATGCGCGCGCGTAGTGGAAAATTTAGGAAAATGTTGAAATGCTCAGAATGGCCTAAAACGTGCTCTAATTTAGTCAAAAAGTGATTTCGAGTATTTTGAAATTTTGACGCACGCGTACACGTGCGTTATGAAGCGCACACGTAAAATTAGGGTATATTACATTCAACATTAAATGGAAGTTAATGCCCACTTAATACGATTTCGAAATTGCAATTGGTGAGGCTGATGTGATCGATAATGTAAAAACGCAAAATTGCGCGTAGATGACGTCACGCATGACTGAGCGCGTTGAAAAGCTTACTGTGACTCTTCCAGACCGAGCCAAATTGATCAATGAAGGACCGTGTGTGTAGCTCGTAGCAATTTTGAGATATCGTGCGAACAAAAGGGGGAGAAAGAAAAAAAATAAGAGGATGATGATCCTGACAAAAACAAGAGGTGATCCGCTCGAGAAGCGGATCACCAATAAATAGTTTAATTAAGTTATTATTGCGTACTTGAATATATAGGCACTGCTGTTTTTTTTTTTATGTAGAGCGCCATATAAATGCTTGATGTGATCACTCGGATTTGCCATATTAATATTTGATAACAGGCCCTTAAAATTACTGCTAGAAAATGACTAAAATTTAATAAATTTAAATCAAATATAATTAAAGAGCAAATTTAATAATGTAGCTGAGGGCATTTAATTTATGGTGTTAAATTAATTATAAGAACAACAGTAAAAAATTAACATTGTTCTGTGTATACTATTTAATTTCTTCAATTTCAAACAAATGACGCTGATTTTCTTGTAATTTTTGTATTTTAAATGAATATTATATGCCCACTATTGTCTTCTAATTGGATTAAAATCTGGCCGAATTTTGGCCGATATTGAAAAAAAAGTTTGGCCGAATTTTGCCATGAGATGGCGTGTGTTTTGCCGTGAAGCCTGTAGACTATCTGGCAACCTTGGATCGAATTGGGTCGCATGAACCACAGAGGTTTGTTGTTCGTAAATATTGTATGTGTTAAATTATAATTACTATTTGTTAATTAACATAATTTAATTTGGTATTTATTTCAATCATTAAATATATTACTGAATCACTGTGTCAACTTTTCCAAAACAGTGATAGAGTTGGAAATATACCTAATTGTTTTCTTTTTACTCTACTAACGTCATGAAAACATACGACTTGAGCGAGGTTGTCTATTCTGCTCTCTGCATCCACCCCAACCCATCAGTACTTAAAGTACAGTAGAGTGGCACGTGCTCACTGCATAGAACAGCATGGTCTTTCTCTCAAATCAACTGTCAATGTTGTTTTGAATAGTGACGATGTGGGAAAATACTGTATGTTTGAATATAAAATTAACAATACTGTATTTTTTTTTTTGACTCACTGTATTTATGATGAAAAAATATCTTTCAAGAAATACATGCATATTATTCTATGCAAAATGATGGATGAGGATTCAGGTTGTTTACTTCTTGCTCCATTCTCCGTAGGGTGTATCACGTGGTCTCTGCACAAACGTGGTCTTTCTCTTTGATGTTTTTCACGCTCGATCATATCGGGGCTTAACATGACTAAAACGGTTTGGAAGTTTGTGTTGTTAATAACAATGTGGGTAAATGTATTTGAATATAATATAAATTGTATTCACTTTTTTGATGATTGAATATCGTACAATATACAGGCTTTAAGGCCTAGAAGAATATCTTTTTTATTTTGTGGTTAATGATTTTTATTTAGCATGGAAGTTCCATATTGAGGCATAGCCTGGATAAGTTGTCAAGTGTGGTCTTTCAATTTATGCGAGTAGTAGAGTAAAAGAATACACATATTTCCAGCTCATAATATCACTTGCATGTTGTGATCGTGGTGTTGCATGTATAAATGGTTGAGGTTTGGTTGTTAAACACCTTACTTCTTCGTATTCTGATGTTTAAGTATAATTTTAGAAGTGTATTTTAAGTGTTTGTCGTACAGATACCCTTTATTTCCAATGGAGACAGAATTTTGTGTATATATCTCAAATAATTACACTTAACTACAGTACATTGAAAAGCTCAAAGTTTCTCAAAATGGTAATTCAATTATAGCGAGTCACAATTATAAATGCATTACAAGCAATAGCCTCCAGTCCAGACATTTATCTATTTAGCATTATTATGTAAATAATATGAGACTGCAAAACAACTGACTACTAAGACACTGCTAGAGAATGCGAAAGTAGGCTTTAACCGTAAACATCAGCATGTGCTTGCGAGACAGCTACTCTGGTGGAAAACGACTGTAAAAGTCATTATTTTTCCCTCAAGGTGAAATATGGAATGATATTCACTTCGGGAGATTGAGACTTTGATGTTGATAGGCATCGAATCCCAGACGTTTATTGAGTACCATTTTTTTTACATTATGTCTACAGACTTTGAAATAAGCATAATTATAATAGATACCTGAGCACACTCAGAGAGTGTATACCTCTGCCCACATTATAATTCATCTGTATAAAATTCCCATGCATTTTTCCCTTAGGGGGAAAAAATTAAAGAATGAAAACAGAATCTCAACCTCCACTGGGATTCGAACCCAGGAGCTGTCGCTACAAAGCAAACGTCATAACCAACCAGACCACAAATGCGTGTTTACTTATGTGCCATCCTGTAGACGTTTAGATCCTTTAATAATTGTTCCTTGGACCATTTTAGAAATTTTCCTTCAGATCCATTATTTAGTTTTTGAGCTAGTCCTGGAACGTTCCATTTTAAGGGTCCCCATATTTATATCGTACACCTGAACATCACAGAAATAGCATACTTTTTTCCTTGGCTATGATGAACCCTTCCAGAAAGGTTTCAGATGCATTTATATATGTTTTTTTAGATATCTGGTCTGGAATGTTCCCTTTTAAGGGACCGCATATTCACACCCTACTCCATATCTTCTCCAAAATTTAATAATTTCTTTATTTGGATTGTGACAACAATTCTAGAGTTTTTGTTCCGATCCATTGATTATTTTTGAGATATTTACATGTAGGTCTGCACCCAAGTCTGAATCAGAGGGGGACAAAAATACACATGGATCTCAACAATCAATATTAGCAAATTCGGCCAGTAAACCAACAGTTAAACCAAGATAGTATTCAAGATCTGCTGTCCCTGGCAAGTTATCAATCTACTTGGAATACTTTTTGCAGAAACACTATGCTGTAAGGAGGAAGCGGATTGATGATTGATGATGATCTGAATCATCACCAAAATTTAATCATTATTCCTTCTCTTTTAGAAAGTTTCATTCAGATCAGTTCAATAGTTTTTGAGAAACCTGGTCTGAAATGTTTCTATTTTAGTTGTCCTCATATCCACACCCTACTCCGGTTCGTCAGCAGAATTTAATTATTTTTTCCTCGGACCATGACAAACCATTCTAAAACGTTGCATTCAGATCTATTGATCAGTTTTGAGATAATCAGGTCTGGGACGTAAGCAATTTAAGACTCGACAAATTTATACCCAAATCTGGATCGTCACCAAAAGTTGATGTGAATTTAATGATTTGATATCAATATCTTTTAATATTATTTTAATTTTATTCTGTTTTCACATATACGATGCAGTAGCAAGGTAGGGGAGGCTTTTTTCTAAGTGGTTAAAATACTAATAATGACCATTAAGTTTTTTGGCCAATGGACTACTTTTTTGACATAGCGGTTACGGTTTTGCTTTACAACCTTGAAGTAAGAGGTTCAATATTTCGCTTGTGTCCTTGTCTTGGGGACAAGGCACATAACCTACTGTCGTTTCTCTTCAGCACAGGAGTACTGTATGTGGGTACCAGGTACACGTAAGCTCAAACACAAAATGTGCTGATTGCAGTTCCAATATTATTGAATCTCTCCAGGGAGCTGAGTATGTGTTCCATTTGTGCTTGATCCAGTTACTGGGGGTAGTAATGTGAATCGCTTAGAGCCCTTGGTATAAAGAGCTGTTATTTATTACTTTTCTTTTTTTTTACCTCTACACTATTATTATATGAAATTTATTTCATGCTTTGCTAGACTTGGCACAAGAAATGTTTCAGATGTTGCAACTGTAAGAAAGGCTTGGACTCAACAAACTGCTGTGATAGGGAAGGTGAAATATTCTGTAAAGGTAAGTACAATAAAGTATACAGTAATTGAATAAAACAGTTTTTTGAGAGTATAATAATTGCTACTTTTTATATTATGTTTTTATAGTAGGTTGTATATATTTTTGTGTCTACTGCCCTTTTGGGTACCAGTTGACACTGGAAATTTTCTTGTAAAAGTAAATCCGTTGGAGGTACAAGCAATAAATAAAAGTGAACAAAATAAGCCTATGAGATATGATGCCATATGCCTAGATAAGACATTTCCCTAAAAGAAATAAATTAAACAATCTGTTATGTGTACAATTATTAAAGTGAATTGCCAACACTTCTTCCAGATTCTTTGTCCTGTTTATGTTACCTAATGTTATTAGTGTTTGTTTGCATGTTTATGTTATTGTTTTGTGTTATTGTCTTTTGCATTTGGATGTGTTGTGTTATTGTTGTCATCTCATGTAAGTTTGGGAAGCAGTGCTCTAGAATACAACAAAATAGAAGACTGCATGAAATTTAAATGAAAGTTTAACACAGTAGTTGAAGGTATAACAACAATTGACAGAATATTAAAAATTGATTATTAAGTTTGCATTGAAATACGGATTTAGTTCGCATTCTCAAATTTCGTACTCCCTCTTCCCAGCCTACACCCCAGTAACTTAAAGATTTTCTTCTACATGTGAAAAATGTCAATAATGATAGTAATATTAATGATGGTAACACCACCAAAAATTAAAACAATAGACCCCTTGCAATGTTTACATTGGCCTATGTGAAACGCTGGTGGCGCCCTACCCTGGTAGGCAGAAGATTTACGAAGTTTTTGTGCCAGCTGTTGTCGGTGAAACAATTGTCGACTCATCAACTTGCGTGTGTTCTAACAAACTCCAAAAAATTTCAGCACCAGTTGTTTTTCCAAGCATGCACACCAGCCCAAGACAGTGTTCCTAATTCTGCATCAATAAAATACGGATGATAGCATATGAGCTGGGCATTTTCCCTAATGTCAGCCGATTCATCGATTGCTTGCATAATGCAGTTGGTACGTCAAAGTTCTCATTTTATGGTTTTCGTAATTGCTTTGCCCAGTTTATCGATGCATACTTCTGTTGTTGTATTGTACATTTGCAATTGCTGTATCTTTTTTTTTTATCAATTTTTTCTTTTAGTTTGTCATCTTTATTGATAGCTGCCATCGTTGATGTTTTACATCAATTTCAGAGTTGGAGAAGGGTTTTCTTCTTCGTTAGAGTGCAACAGACACAGAGTGAGGCTTTAGTAGCTTTCTGAACAGATGTGATCTAATTATCTGTTGACTAGCCTCAAAGCCTTCTTTTGTTTTTTCTCAATTCTGTATCTTCATGAACCTTGCTTCCAATGCAAAAACCTTTCTAAAAGTTTTCCTTGTGTGTTGTATTGTGTCTTTTGATGCTTTACTCTTTTTTTGCAGACACATGGTGATTGCATTTGTTGAACTTGCTTTTCCTGTTGCTTCATTCAAAATACACACATAATTTTCAGTCTCTTTTAATTGCGGTTTCCAAATAAACGCTCCAATTTTTTTTTAAGGAGTAGCCATTTCGTATGATGAAGAATGACACCATTTCTTAAGTAATGGCATACAGTGGTTTAATCATCCAGACTAAATAATTCCTTTGGCCTAAATTTAGGATTTTGGCTAATCATCGCATGGCGCAATACACATTCCCACATACAAAAAAGATACATCAGAAGAGCTACCGAGAGATTGTATTAGACATGCTGTAGGGTTCACGCACGATCTATTTTGAAGTGTGATTGCAGCATAATACTCAATGACAAATGAGGGATACTATGACCATGGACCTTTCAATAAATGAGGTCCATGGGAAGGCAAACTATTTTAATAGGTTTGAATTTTGGTGCTCTGCTTTCTTATTGGTCTTTGCTAATCAGTGTTTAGGTAGAACAAGGTTCCCACAACAAATGCAGAATATATGTCAAAAGAAATGCGGACGTAGCAAAGTGTTCGAAAGTCGGCCGAAAATAGAGTTATCTCTAAAAATAGGCCAACAATTCTTGGGAAAAAATATTTATTTTCAAAGCAATATTGTGAGCTTTAAAATAATGACAGGCATAATGGTGCTGCACTTAATAATCCTAGTGATAGCACCATCTAGAGTGTATGTAAAGATAACCTTTGATTGCACAGGCCAGAATATCATTGTAGTTCATATCGTTTGATGAATAATAGAGTACAAAACAACACAAGCGGTTTGGCGCAGCAGGAACGGTTTGGTCTCCCAACCTCGAGGTAGACTTTCAAACCCTCGCTGTACATTTTGCTTCTGTCTTTCAGCAAGGCATTTATATGCATTGCTTCTCTCCACCCAGGAGTATAAATGGGTACCTGGTGGGTTTCCTGCTCCTGACTGATTACCAGCGGCAACACATAGCATGTAGACCCAATGACCAGGGAAAAGAACAGCGCTTTAAAACCTCAAGGAAGAGGTCCATTATAAAATACCTATACCAGTACACAGATATGATATAGGAGCTGTATTAGTCCAATTATTTACATCAAATAAACTTGATTATAATAAAGGAAATAAGACGTATGTAGCACCTTAGACAATTATAGTTTTATTTTTTTAAATGCTTAAAGACCCAGTGTCTGAAAATTTCCCCCCAAAATTTAAAAAAAAAAAAAATGTGCATATATACATTACTTTAATTTTCATAAACCAGTCATTTTTGGTTCCTATGCTTGCAAGCATAGGAACTTTCAAAATCCTGCTCGTGTGTATGTAGTATGTACGTTACTAGTATGTTACGCAGTTTTTTGTAAACAGGCAAACGTGACTTTCCAGACATCTATTTGTTTTGTGCGTCCGTACCCAAGCTAATCTGGTGTTGTGCACTATTTCATAGTTTTCTATTTTGACAAATATTAAACCCATACTAATACCCCCCCCTACTCTTGAAAAGACTAGTAAACTGTACTAGAAATTGCAAATTGCAAGTGAAGTGCTGCGAAGTACAACTGCATATAAATGTTCTTCGAACAAAATTATTTATGCGAGTCAATGATGAATAATAAAACTATAACAAATAATATGAGACACGACCCATTGTCTATATTAGAACACTTCTCATTGGGTAAAAAGTCGTAATTTTTCATTTTTGTCAAAAAGTGTCTATAGTGTGGTGAATTAT